TGACAATGGAATGGGAGATGATTTTAACTTTCTATAGTTTTCATTTTCCTTTTTTAAACAGCAAATGTGTAATACTTCTGTAGTGAAAAAATAAAACAAAAAGGTTTTTATAGTGACAAAATGTAAGGAAGAGTCACAGATCACAGTAAAATTTCATTTCCCTACTGTAATTACCAGCCTGATGAACCTTCCACCCTTTAAAATCTATAAAGGATTTGAAAGGTAAAACTTTTCTAGGAAAAATTTGAGATTCTAAATGCAAGCACAAATAAATATACAACAAAGTAGTAACAGTATAATGTCAATATGAATAAACTCATCATAAGTTAATCAACTCTCCATTATCCAAACCAATAGGGTGCAGTGGCCCACATAATTTTCCAGGTTTTATAGTCATGAAGTTTCTTAAATCCTTGAATTTGAAGGTTGTATGGGTGAACTCACAAAGTTAAATCTAAAGGAATTAAGAGATCTATGACGACTGAACTCAGTAGAAGCTAGAGAGCTATTTAAGCTCTTGCTGGTTTTCGTCATTCTGCCATCAGGACGAAAAGCAGTCTGGCATTGTGAATTCACTGGCCTTAACAGAAATGCCTTCATTCTTTCTCAGCTTATTATTAGAGGAAGATAAAATGGTGAGGATTTGGGATTACTGGGTTTTTGTTTTGCACAAGATCATGTGAAAGAATAAATTCATGTCAATGATACAATCAAGAGGAAACTGAAAACAATAATATACTAAGTAACCCCCTTAAAGAAACTGAAAAGTACCCAGGGAATGACAGGAGAGTACAATATTCTACATAACAGTATTCTACAGCTTAAAGCAACTGTGAGCAAAAGGAAGCTTTTCTTGGATATATAAGAAATACACATTTCTATCTGTTTGGGTTCAAGTTCTGGTTCTATCACTTATGACTTTGGATGTAACAAATACTTGGGTCTCAGTTTCCCTCTCTTCTAAATAAGGAAACATCACGTACCACATAGGAAGGATGTATGATAAAATAATTCACATGAACGGGCTTTCAGTTCTTCAGAAGAAAGCTATGAATCCTTAAGTATGAACCTGGAAAGCTAATTAAAAAAAAGATGACCGCCATCAAAATTAAGTCTGAAAGGCAGTAGCTGAGAGGGACTTTAAGATCATTACCAGCTATCTACTCTACCACAAATAACAGAATTCATACTAAAGCTGGGACTGTAGTGCAAATGTAGTTTGAGCAATCAAATAAGCTCATTTATTAATATGTTAATACAACAAAAAATAAGTGAAACAGATTTGGTATAACCTAAAAACACTGACCTAAGATGATGATATTATCTTGGTGTTTCTTTTGAAAATATATTTGGAGCTGGTTGTGCAAAAGATACATCATCACTGAACAATAATAACCATGGGGTATTAATAATGAAACAATTAAAAATAGGATTAAACACATATGTGTACATAGGGGGTTATTTCTCTCTTGTGTAAAATAATCTTCAACCAGCTAACTGAAGTTTTGAGATCTAAAAGGAAAGCAAAAGGTGATATCATCCAATATTTATTGAGCAATATAGACAAATTATGCTAAGCAACAGAAATACAAAAAAGTGTTAGATTTACTATGCATGTCCTCCACATACACTACAAACTATGGCCAAATAGTTGGGGGAACAAATTACTAAATTAATTGAGTTATTATATGTGACCTATTCCATCAAAATAGTAGTAGTAACAGGCAATAGTGAAGAAGAAAAAAGAAAAAGGGTTTTTGAAAAGATTTTTTTTAAAGATTTTATTTACTTATTAGAGAGTGAGCGAGAGAGAAACAGCATGAGAGAGGAGAGGGTCAGAGGGAGAAGCAGGCTCCCTGCTGAGCCGGGAGCCCGATGTGGGACTCGATCCCAGGACCCTGGGATCATGACCTGAGCCGAACGCAGTCGCTTAACCAATTGAGCCACCCAGGCGCCCCTGAAAAGATATCTTAATACTTTATAGCAGCTCACAATTTCTTGTATGCTGGTCATCACATCTGATTGGTTTACAGAAACCCTGGGAGTGAGGTAGGAACCCTGAAGCTCGACCCACAGTTAGGGGAGAAAGATGACGCCTGAAGAGGTTAAGCAACTTACTTAAGATCACAGGTCAGGAGCTGGAGAGTGAGAGCCTGGCCAGTTTGCCAACTTTGTCCAGAGCTTATTTCCACTACGTTAAATTTTAAGTTATCAATACTAACGTGAGAACTAAAAGGGAGTTTAGAAATATTCAAATGCAGTACTTCCCTGATCAATCTGATAAAAACTTTTTCGGGTGTGCATTAAAAACAGAGTCTTAGGCCCCACTGCAGACCTTTTGAATGATAATCACTGGGAGAGAGGTTTTATATGGTTACAAGAGCCCCAAGAGGTGGTTTTAATGATTAGGTAAGTTTGGAAAAATGCTCTTCTACATCTGCATGTCCAACATGGCAGATCTGTGGCTATTTAAATTTACACTGATTAAATCAAACGAAAAAATCGGATCTTTCCATTGCACTAGCTACCTTTTAAGTGCCCAACAGCCAGGTGTAGCTAGCGGCTGCCATATTGGATGACACACATATAAGACATTCCTATCACTGCACAAAGTTCTGTTGGTCAATGCTGATTCTAGACCAGCCCTTCCACTATGAGGATGAGAAAATTGAGGCCCAGAATTTCATCTGACAAGTGCTATGAAGCTAGTCAGTGGCAGAATTGAAACACGAACCTAGTCTGCCCGTACCTCTCTTACTATATCATTTCATCCCACCTCAAATCAGGCTTTTTCATATAGGAATTATTTCCTTTCCACCTTTTCTTGGGGGTTCCAGCAAAAAAAGAAGAAAAAGTCTAAATCTGTGTGTGTGTGTGTAAATCTTAAAAAAAAAAAAAGTCATTAAAAATCATGATTAAATCTAAACCAATCTGTAATTTTTATAAAAAACTAAAGGTAGTGTTGGACAGTTACTTATACTCCGGTGTTAGGAGACATATCTTTTCTTGTTTAACTATTTTAACTCCTCCTCTTCTACTGACCTGATGTTTTCATCTTTCTCTTGGATTTGAAACCCTGAAACTGTTACATTTTAACTTGCTTACCTTAATATTTAAATGTGAAAAGATTATATCTTTTTCAGCAAACATTTTAAAAATGAAAACAGAAATAAGGAGCAATCAAAAAATAGTGACTTGTCTAATTTTAGAATATGGTCACTCAAACCACTGAGCACTCTTGGCTTTCAGTAATCTAGTGGTTCTTATTTATGACATTAATATGCTGTTTTCACTTGTAACCTACAGCTCTACCTTTTTTTGACTACTGTTATATTTTCAAACAATTTGAGGGCCTAAAAGCATCTGAATATGTAGCAAGGTTTAGACTCTAATCAGGTCACCATATAACCAGTCACAAAAAAATACAACAGTGTCTTCTTTAAAAATAAAACCAGTTGTTCCTGTCTAGTATGTTCAGAATGCAAATGTCTCCAAAGTCAATCAGCTTAAGTCATGACAGTTCATGTTTAAAGTCAGCTGGAAAATAACCTGGAACTCCACAGTAATTAGAACTTTAAAGACAGAATTACACAGCTCTATCAGTTTTTTTAAGTACGTAGTATTCATTTCCATGTTAAATTCTAGTGAAACTGATGTCAAACTATAAAATTAAAAATTGGATTGTTGAAAAACATGGCCCAACATAAAATACTCATGGACAAATACTTATTCAAGACACTTTTGCCATAATTTGCAAGGTACCCAGAAGCCTTCAGAGGGGGTTCTATATAAATAGAAGCTACTTGTTATTCAGAGAAAGAGATGGTGCCAAAAAAAAAAAAAAGACAGCTATTTTCTTTCTAAACACTCATTGGTGTTGAGGTAAACAAAAAGAATACAGTCTAAGTAAGCATGGTAGAGCAGAGCAGGAGTCTCTAAGTCATGACATGGGGAGAGAGAAAAATGTCTGTGTTTCAGTATTTTAAACTGGGGACTGGTAGTTTAAGAGGAAATTTATTCTCTGGCTTTTAGACCAGATTCATTACTTCTACATCTTATCTGTTATGTCTTGACTCCACTTCACTATATTAGGAAGAGGAAAAACAAGTGCCCTGAAGATTCTTACGCCAACAAAACTACTTTTGGAGGCAGCACAGCTCAGCAAATGAAGAACATTAGAAAAATGTTAACTGACAACAGCAGAAAGGGAACTACCTCAACGACCGAGTGATAAATGGCACATACTAATGTAAAGAATATGAAAACTACTGCAAACTGTAAACAAATATAAAAGTGTTCCAAAAATTTCAAATCTCATAATAAGAGAACTGCAAAAGTAAGTAATAATAAAGAAAGAAATGAAAATATTGTGAAGGAGGGGCTTTGAGAAGAAGCCCAGCTTGAAAGGAAGACACAGGTCAAAAGGAAGGGGCGGGGGACAGTTCTGACCACGTCTGTACCAGGAGATGCTTCTAACAGCTTCAGTACTATCCCCAGAAGACAATTTAGGCAGCTTTAGGGAAAGTGATTTAGGCAACAAGCAAATGTGCTTTGAGGGAGGAGAAATACAGAGGTGTTGCTGAATTTTCTACCTACGAAAAGATGCACTAGTGAGAGAAAACGACCATGAAATCCCAGACTGTAATTCCCAAGCTTCCTGTAGAAAAACATCAACCACTCTCAGACATACAAGCCAGCGCATTTGAAAATGACCCAGCGAAGTTTTCAGCTGGCCCTCACTATCTCTCAAACCCTCCTTCCTCCACTTCCCTGCTGTTCTCTCCTGGCTCACAGAATATAGGCCAATGAGCGGTGGGTGGGTGAGGAGGATGTGAGAGAAAATTTGAGAAGTAAAAAAGGGAGCAACTTAACAAGGACATGAATGAGACTGAAGGGTGTAATAAGGGCATGCAAACAACAATTCGAACGGAACGGGCTTTCCTGGGCAGCAGAGAGCGTTCAGTGTTGGTAAGGGTTCAAGCAAACGCCAGACTACATACCACTTGTCAGAGAGGCTGCAGAGGGGACGGCTGCTTTGGGTGACCTCTAATGTCTCTTCCGACTCTGAAACGTTAGGATTCTTATTTCACAAAAGAGAACGCAATGGTCCCGAAAGCCCCCCAACCTAGAACCCTTTTAAAGAAGCGGCCCAGGTGGCTACTTCCCAAACACCACTCCCACACGTGCCCACCCCGCCCCCTTTCAGTATTTCCACCTCCACGTGCGAAATGCCTCGCGGCACTCGCCCCGGAGCGGAGAGGCACCTTCCCCCGCAAAGCACTCAAACTAGGCCCCTCTGGGGCAAGTGAGGACTCCACTCTCCCACCCTGGACAGCTAAAAAAGGAAAAGTCTCAAATCCAGCCTCCCCCCGCCTCCACCAGCCAGAGCTGAAGGGGGAGGGGGGGGCGGGACGCAGAGAAAAACTTTCTTCTAAAATTTTTCTCCCAAAGAGTGGAGGAAGTAGAGAGAACCCCGCCGAGTCCGGGGCTGAGGGGGTGGGGGGAGGGGAACCCCCGAATCGTTTAACGGCCGGTAGGGGGAGGGGGACTCTGGAGGTTGAGGGGGCGTGGGATGGAGAAACAGGCCTGGGAGCGGGGTCAAAGAGCTGCAGGGGTTCCTGGGGTCGGGGAGCTGCAGGCGTCCCCCCCACCTGGCACACAAAGCGGCTGCCGCGCTCGGCTCTCACCAGATCCTTTGTGTTTTCCATCAGGGCCTCATGGGTAGGGGTTGTCCGTGCTCCCCGGGCCCGCGGCGCCCCCTCCCCGAGCTGGGGGCAGGCGCCTCTCCCCGGGACTACGGCGACTACAGGGGGGCCCCCGCTGGGCCCAGACCGGTGGCGGCTGCGGCAGCCCCCGGATTTCCCCCCTTTAACTCGGGTGGCCCCAGGATATCAACAACATTAGCATAGCCCTCCCTCCCCAGCGCGCCTGCGCCGTGACCCGCGCCCCGATTGGCCCACTTCCCTACATACCCTCCTCTCTCTCCTCCAGCGTGGGACCCTCTGCAGGCTCCGTACTCCAAGGGCCGTACCAAGACGAGGGGGTGGAAAAGGCAACCGCGGCTCGTGTTAAGTCGAGTGGTTAAAAAGTCAGGAAGAAAAGTGGAAGTTTCATTCAGTCATCCCAGCTTATACTCTCGCTTTCTTGTGCTCCTTTCAATCAGTTGCAGCTGCGAAGTTGTGTTGGAAAAAATTTTCCACTCCAGTCACGCCGCTTCCCCCTCCACCCGGAAGATTGGTCCTCCCGGAGGAACTCCCCTACGGGGAGGGGTTGGTGAGGGGAGTGGGCGCTACGTAGGGAGAGAGTGTTGGTCACGTGCTAACAGACCGCGCAGGCTCCTTCCGACCCCGCGGGGCCTCAGCGGCCGCGGAAATCCAACGACCTCGGCGCACGCGCAGCGAGGTTCCACGTGAGCGCCTGCGTTTCTTCTCCAACCCAACGATGCCGCCGGAACGTAGAAGCCGAACGAAACCGGACCGGAGAACCGGAGTGAGGCTGGACCGGAAGAGCCGAACGAAGCCGGACCGGAGAGCCGGAACAGGGCCGGGCGGGCCGCCCCGAAAGGCTGCTCCTTCATCCCAGCGGAAACCGCCGGCCCGGCCGAGCGCAGCAACCGCTGCGATCGCAGTCGCGGCGGAGGAGGAGAGACGGCTCCGGCAGCGGAACCGCCTGACGCTGGAGGAGGACAAGCCGGCCGTGGAGCGGTGCCTGGAAGAGCTGGTGTTCGGCGATGTCGAGGACAACGAGGACGCGTTGCTGCGGCGTCTGCAGGGCTCGCGGGTGAGGGAGGCCGCGGCGTGCGGGCTGGGCGCGCTCGGGCGGGGCGCACGGTGGGCGGTGAGCCTCCGGGGGCGGAGCC